GTCTAAAACTGCCACGCTCGTGCAACGAAAGAAACTCAGTTAAAATATCGAGAAATGTGATGATGTGCGCTACGACAGAAGTCAGACGCAAGCAAGTAGCCTGTTAGCAGTCGAGGTTTGGCTAACATATTAGCTTAGAATGTCATGCAGGCCCTCCTATATATTGCGATTCTTCTTCTTGCACCTGCGCAGACAGACGGGAAACGTAAACCCGAACTAGGTGGCTAACATGGCTGGTTGGAACTGATTAACAACACATTTTATCTGTTCGGTTCCGCTTTGTACTACCACCATTCTAGGAACATCATACGTTATTCGAAAGACACTCATGTAAAATGTATAATGCCTCACTCGAAATCTGTTTAATGAATGTAACACGTATTAAAAACAAAATGTATTTCGGAAATAGCTGCTGCACTGTGTACCTCAGGGGTAAGGTTTGTGTCAGGTACATAGAAGTAAATACCCTGTAAAATGATGAATTATGGAATAATTAATAATAATATAATATGGTGAAAGATCCCGTGTCTGTTTCAAGGAATTCACGTGTAGGACTGGATAAAAACCATAGAAAACTTTCGTGTGATGTAAGAATTGGAACAGGTACTTCACCAAATAGCCACGTGCATGAAACCAAAGCGAATGAAGGCCAGTTGCTAGGAAGTCGAAGCGATTATGAACTATCGGTTACGCAGTGACTGCCAGAGATAATGGCTGGCATAAACAACGTTGTCAGAGAAGTGTTGGAATACATCCACATACCCGTTGCGCCAGTTTTTAAAGTTCTGTACAAAACAATACAGCGTCGAGTTGAAGCACTTGGACAAGAACATCACATTTTTCGTAAGTATGTGGTAAAATAATAAAATAACATCCTAAAGTGAGAATAGCCATTAAGGTAGGGTGTTAGTATAGGTTCCGTGCATAAATTGGATAGGGAGATAGGAAATAAAGATACGCACCAAATTTTCGTAGGAAAATCTCTTGAAAAACGACTACTTCCAGGATATGTCAGCAGAAAATTTAAATACGTCTTAATCGTACGTGTTGTTAGAATAGCCAGTGTAAGGCCGTGGTTTTATCGGTGTTCGGGTTAACTTCGCAAGAAGACGAGAAATGTAGAACTGTGATTAGAAAGTCTGGGCGCAGATTGGATTATAATATTAAAATTTATCTTAGGGCAGCACTTGGTAAAACTACACGAAGTTGGAAGTAAAATATTAAAAAGTATCTTAAGAGTAATGGGGAAAAAACTGAACTGCCTCAAGATAGGGTCCAGTGACGAGCTTTTGTGGACACGATAATGAACATTTTGTGACCACGTGGGTAACTATACATTTTAATAATATATATCATGCACCATGGAGTTTATACTATTGTGGACGTACTGCTATCCCACCCTATCTACTAAAATAAGGTCGAAAGTAGTTATTATACGTTATTTACGTACACTAACAACTGAATCCAAATTGGTTATGTCAACATAATCTAATTATTGTTTTTCTAGTCGAAAAGCCCAGTTGAAATTCATCAGGGTATGATTTATTTCGTATTGTTATCCTTATGTTATTTCTTTCGTTTCTTTTGTTCCTTCATGCCTTTCTTTGTTCACTTTCCTTCATCTCTCGTTTGCCTTTCCCATTCTCGTTTAACACAGAACGAAAATATGTAATCAGCGATACGCACTGCATTAATTCAACGTTCTCAACACCCATAAGAGGATTACTTCTAAAAGCTGCCAATTGGTAGCAGAACTGGTTAAATAAAACAAATTTCTCTATTTTGCTTCAGTACTAAGAAGTTATAGGCATATTTGAACGCAGGCAAACAAAGATCAACGCCATGAAATATCAGATTTGGTACCAAATATGTATTTTTCATGCAAACAAAGCTCGTAGTAGCTTATTTCATGTGCGGGTTTTCGATTTGCCTTCTTTTAGTGCAGACCTAACGTCGTTAGTCTAATAGGGGATAAATTCCTTTTAGTATCGTAGCTCAGTCAGTATAG